GTGGGGCATTTTCTTAGTTGCTGATTTATGCAGGATGGCCCAGCCCGCTGTCTCTAGGCAGGTGGGTCTGGGCTGTATGGGAAAGGTTGCCCAGCAGGCCAGGGGAAGCAAGCCTCCATGCTCTCTGCTGTAGTTTGTCTTGAGCTTTTGCCATGGCTTCTCTCGATGTATCAATCCCTTTCCTCCCTCAATTTGATTTTGGTCAGTGTTTTATCATAGCAACAGAAATCTAATTAGAACAGCATATTAGTATAGAGAAGATCGGTAGCTTCTCTATACTAATATGGTAGAAAGGTAGAAAGTGTGAAAATCATGAAATGTAAATCTGTGATAAACATGAGGTGCCTTTGGCTCTTGGTGTGATAAAAAAAAGGTATTGAAGGGATTTAGTAATGATGTCCAAAAATGTAAAGAGTAAGCATGTAGAAGTACTAGATCTGTTTTGCATAACTTCAGAGATTAGAACTAGTCCTATAGAATCTGCAGAGATAAAGATTAAGAAAAATTTCTGATAATCTGAGCCCTCTAGAAATAGGAATAGCTGTCACTGGAAACCTTGGGGACTAATTTTTTCCCTGTTAAATTTTCTAATAAAGAACTTGTATGATTAAATAGTGTTGTTAGACATTTTCTTCTGTAAGATTAGAATTGGATTAAATATTCCTTTCAAAAACACAGCATTTTATTTGGCTACTAACCCACTTATAATATTGGTTTTCAATTGTTAGCCCCAATAATTTATACCTCAGATTCTTTGTAATGTCTCCTTACTGTGTAAGGTAAAACTTATAATGAACATAATCTGCCTCACAAGTAAATGTTCAAGAAAAGTGAATATACCTGAAAGTAATTTAAAACTCCACAAACATTGGATCTCTGAAATGGAAGAAACCTAAAACATTTTCCTAAGTTAGGCACAGACTTATTAGTTTTCACAACTTGGTCTTAATTGAAATGATCCAGTTGTAAATCTTACTCAGTTGATAAATTCTTAGGTATTACTAGAAAAATATTAGTGTGTTTTATTATGGACTGCATTGTTGTTCAATATGCTTTGAAATTTTTACTAATGTTATTTGAGAATTTCATGTAATATATTTTGATCATGTTCATCCTCCCTCAACTCCTCCCTGTAGCATGAATCCTAATTGGTCTAAATAAAAACCTGGCACCAGCTATGGGGTAAATGCTAGAAGATCAGAGAGACAAAGGAACAAGCCATAGCCACCTCTCACCTCACTAACTCCTCAGTCCAAAAGGAAACTCCTGTCTCCTCCCGCCTTATATTCCTTTCTCTGCTCAGCCATATCACTTCCTGTTTCCACATCCCTAGTCCTGGGATTAAAGGCCTGAGATCCCAAGTGCTGGGATCAAATGTGTGTGCCACCACTGCCTGGCTTTGTTTCTCTTTTAGACTGGTTCAGTCTTGTGTAGCCCAGGGTGGCCTTGAACTCACAGAGTCTGCCTCTGCCTCTTGAGTGTAGGGATTAAAGGTGTGTGCTACCACTGCCTGGCCTCTATGGTTAACTAGTGGTTTAGCACTACACTATGATTTTCAGGCAAGCCTTATTTGTTAGATCACAAACAAAATATCACCATACCTCCCAGATCTAACCCCATTCCACCGGACCTCCCAACCCCCCCCCCCCTAACCCTCTCGCCCCCTCTCCCATCTTAAACCAATCCAGCTTGTGTTGGGTATGGGGCTTGTTCTGGAATGTTATTGATACATCAGGGTCACACTATTAAAGAAAACGGGCTTGCTTTCTCCCAGGAGCAACCAAATGCCAATAGTTTCTTAGCTGGGAGTAGCCTTCATGCTCACCTTCCCTATTCCACTATGGGATTTAGTTTGGCTTGAGTTTGTGCAGGTCTTGTGCATGAGTGGAAATTGTTGGGAGTTCATATGTGCAACTGTCCTGTTGTGCCCAGAAAACACTGTTTCATTGAAGCTATCAACCACCTCTGGCTCTTACAGTCTTTTACCCCTGATGTTGAAAAAGTCCCTGACCCTTAAGGGGAGAGATGTGATATATAATTGTCCCATTTAGGGCAGAGAGAGCACTTTAATGTTTGTTTTCTTCACTTAGACCAGTTCTGGGTCTCTGTTAATTGCCATATACTGCAAGAAGACGCTTCTCTGTGAGGGTTTAGAAATGTACAGATCTATGGGTATAGCAATAAGTCATTAGAAGTCATTTTAATGCTATATCCATTTAGCAGAATAATATAATCTCCCTTTGGGCCTGTGACCTATCTAGCTGCAGGTTCTTGGCCTCATTGATAGTGCTAGGTATGAGTTCCGCCTCGTGGAGTGGGCCATCAGTCCAATCAGAAAAGTGCTTGGTTACTCCCATAGCATTTTTGTTAGTATTGTGCTAGTAGGCATATCTTGCTGGACGGGCCATTATCGTAGCCTACAGGATTCACAGCTGGGTGAGACTGATGATTATTTTTCTCCTCTAGTAATATGCAAAGCGTCTTCCAGCACTATGAAAGCTAGCCATTAGGGATGAAGCTTTCAGTTTAGTACCAGCTAGATTTCTTCATGTTCTGTGACTTGGGTGTGTGGTGTCTTCAGCAAAAGAATCTTAACAGGTTCTGATCAGGGTAACTATATCAATAGCTTTTACATTTTTTAAATTTTTGAATAATCTGGTCTGAAGTGTTTGACCTAAAATATTGTGGTTGCTTAACAGCATTCCAATATGAATACTAACTTTAGAGTATACGATAAAGTATAAGAAGGTTATGCTTCTAACGAGTATGTTTGAGATTTAAAGACGATATCAAGCCATTCTATTAAGGAAATTGAGGAAGCTGAGAGAAGACCATGCTACATATGTGATAAAGGAATGGTGTGCCTTACAAGTTATAAGCTAATAAGTAGAGAAATGGAGGAATAGGGTATTCTTATTGTCTTAGTTAGGGTTAGTGCTGTGATGAAGCACCGTGACCAAAAGCAATTTGGGGAGGAAAGGGTTTATTTGGCTTATATATCCCAAGTCATGGGTTCTTCCATTAAGAGAAGTCAAGGCAGGAACCCAAGCCTAGCAGGTACGTGGAGGCAGGGGATGATGCAAAGGCCGTGGAGAACTCTGCTTTCTGTCTTCCTTCTCGCGGCTTGCTCAGCTTGCTTTCTTACAGAACCCAGGACAACCAGCCCAGGGGTAGCCCCACACACAAGAGGCTGGGCCCTCCTACATAATCATTAGTTAATACCCTACAGGCCTACCTACAGCTGGATCTTAAGGGTCATACTCTAATTGAGTCTCCCTCCTCTCAGATGACTCTAGCTTGTGTCAAGTTGACTTAAAACCAGCCAACATATTTGTAAATAAGCTAAAGCCTCAGTGCTATCAAGATAATTTCCTGTATTATGATTTTTTTAAATGGAATGGTTACTATATATTGGGAAAAGACATAATCTTCTAACATAATTCTACCCCATGTTGAAGCCTGAGTACAGACTGTATGACATGTAATAGAAATTCTGTGTGATCTCTGGGCAGAGTTTGAGTTGCACTGAAAAACATGAGCAACTCAAGATTAGACAGTTCTAAACCTATAAATATGAACTGTTTTATAACTGGTGAAATCTATTGATTATTGTATTTCCAGTTCATAATGTGATCTAAATAACGTGACATACAGGATTACAGATTATCTTGTGTGTTTTGCTACTCTGTAATTCTTGTTATTTACATTAGTAGCTGGGTTTTGTGTGGCACCTTAGAAAGTTGGTTGTTGTATTCAGTATTTTGGAGGTAATTTCTTGTTAAGAAATACTTTCGGTATGGGTGTATGCTGTAGATTCCGGGGGTTTAAATCACAGACCGTTCAGTCGTTGCCTTGGACACAGGTCCGTTCTTCCGGTGCTCCACAGCCTGCACTTCATGCTACAGAACTGTCTTCCTTGTCCTCCCTTTGCCATCTCACAAACACCATTTCCTTATTTCTTGGTCTTTGGTAAATTTCCCCGGCAGAAGTCTGAGCTACTTCTTACATTTATCACATTGCATATTCTTATATAGTCCTTTGTCAGCCTGTGTTGTCTGGCAGGCAGACATATAATGTGATTTGGAATTAATGTTTGTAAGGTATACTTAAGTATAGAATTTAGAGGGATTCTTTAAAAAGAAAACTTTAAAGAAAAATAATTTGTGTTTCAGGCAACTAAGTTTTATGACTAGAAGTACTTGGAAGTTTAAGCACTTAATCTAACTGACAGTCATAGTGTTTAGATGATTACATAAAAGCGGTAAGTCACTGTGAGGGGCTTTGGTCATTTCCTCACTCCCTAATAAAATGTGGTTTGGAATCATATAAAACAAGGTATTCAGTTGAATTATTAAATTGCTTTATAAATTGAAATACTGTTTTCCAATTTGGAGTGTAGGTTACTATTAAGCTGAATATCCAAACCCTAGTATTTTATAGTATTTTAGGTATAGTATTAAGAGTTAGTATAATAATTGTGTTTAAACATCATTTGCTTTAACCAAAATAGGGTTTTTAAAAAGTCTTTTTCAAAGCTTTTATAAAATTATTACAATGATTTTGAGTTCATCCTTTGGTATATAGGAAAGTAGCTGTGATTTAGGGCATCCGTTTTAGATGGTTAAGAGTCTGCTCACTGGTTTAATCTTTGAAAGTTGGATTTTATATGTGGTCACTTTGCATCTTTCCATTGTACTTTTGCCATTTTAAACTGGTTTTTACCCAGTGGATTTTCACATAGAAGCTTAGTATGGAGTAGAACATCAAAGTATTGGGTTTCCTTGCATTTTTAAAAATGTGTGAGCTACTTCTTACATTTATCATATTGCTGTTCTTTAGAAAAATCAATTCTCTTCATGGGGCTTCATGTAAATGACACTTAGAGATCATTCCCCCCAAAGCAAAGCTGAGTGAAATGGAAATGCTGTGTACTCAATAAGGGCCTCATATCGTTTTTAACATACGGTAACTTGAATTTTGTTTATAAATGTCCTTTTTAGAAAGAATCTTCAAGAGGGAGACATAGAGACAAGGAAGACATAAAAATTGTTAAGGAGAGAACTCCAGAAAGTGAAGAAGAAAATGTAGAATGGGAGACTAACAGAGATGGTGAGTTTGAAAATCTTTGCTTTGCTTGTAGAATCTTGATTATTCTCTGGCCTAGTGTGGGTTTTGAGATAGCTTTCAACTGTCATCTTCAAATTGCTTCAGAATTATCGTATTGATTAGAACTGAGTTATCGGGCAGAAACAGGTATATAGTAGCAGGTCAGGGCAGAAAAGGAGGTTTACACCACCTATTTCAACTTGCTCATTCTTTATCCCCCACTTCTAGAACTTTATTGTATCCTTTGGGATTTCTTCCATTTATAAACTTTCAAGTTCCGTAATACTAAGTTTTAAAAATTTAAATCTAATCTAAATTTTTACAGAAAATAATTTAAATGTGATTATTAAAGTTATATTCAAGAAATTGTTGGCTTTAAGTTTTCAGAAGAAACTGAAGTTACATAATAATTCAATCTTGATCTTTATTTATGAAAATGTAAAAAACCATTTTTGACTCATTGTCTTGCCAGTTAAGCATCAAAAAAATCTACCTCTTTGATGTTCTGGTGAGTGAGTACTCTAACCAAGGAATCAGTATTTTTGAATGAATTTTAATATGACATATATTCACTGAAGAGTTTTAGCTTTAAGAACTTCAGTACCTTTTCAGTGTAAGCTGAAAACAGACAGTGCTAGGCACTACAATATGTAGACACAGACTGTTGTCTGTGACTGCAGATAAGCTTGCAACAGAGTCTGTCTGGTTACATACTGCTTATGAGTTACTGTGGCTGAGTGTAGTCTTGTGACAAGGACCTAGAGCTCACAAGACTAAAGTACTTGTGACTGCATTTCAGAATGTTATCCGAGGATGCAGCAAGACTGAGATGGAAAAGTCCTCTAATTGCCTTCCGTGATTAGAAATCTGTACTTATTGAGGGAATTACCAATACTGTCTTTGAAAAAGTTGTTTCTAAGAACATACAGGGATTTTGCTTATGATTAATTCATTGAGATTTTATACTACCTCTTCTATAAAAATAACAGGAAAAGTACAATATCCTGTTGCGGTTGACAAATTATTTAATATATTGAAGGATTTATTGCTCTTTCATTCTGTGTAAGAGGCCTTTCTGTTACTATATAAAAATCAATATATTACATTGATTTTGAAACCTAATTTCCTTCTTTCTCGTCAATTTAGGGCATTTATTATATGCTCTTTTTCTATACCTTTGGTTTTCTTGTGTGTACATTCCTTGTACATACAAGTATTGGGGGGTGTTGAATGAGAATGACCCATAGGTTCATCTATTTGAATGCTTGGTCCCCAGTTCGTGGAACTATTTGGGAAGGATTAGGAGGTGTGGCCTGTTGGAGGAGGAGTGTCACTGGGAGTGGACCTTGAGATTTCAAAAGCCCAAGGCCATTCTCAATTAGCTTTCTCTGCCTCCAACTTGTGGATCAGAATGTGAGCTCTCAGCTGCTGCTCCAGCACCATGCCTGCCTGCTGCCATGTTCCCTGTCCTATGATGGGTGTGGTTGTTTTTCCTTCTTGTTTCCTAATTCTTCCCTTATTTGTTCATCATGTAAAACAACATTAAAAAAATAAAATAAACATATTACAGGAGAGGACAAATGCATGAAAGTACTTTGATAATCTTGGAGGCAGATTCATTATCCTAAAATAAACTAAAACCCCAAAGCCACAGAAGATTTGAATATATGAAAATTAAAAATGGGCTTATAACTAAATCAAGAAATTAAAAGTAGATATTACACCAGAAGAAATATTTGACATATGTAAGCATTAATAAAAGATACCATATAAACATATAATGAACTGTCACAAATATTAAAGAAGACAGTCCAACTTTAAAAACTGATGAAATTTTAAATAGATAATCCTTAAGAACTAGAAATGGCTAATAAATGTTCAGATTAACTGCAGAGAAAGGCTCATAAGAGCAAAGATAGAATTGTCTACCCATTAGTTTCACAAAAATGAAAATACTATTGTTTTTAAGTGGTAATTTCCATTGGTAAAGTTGTTTGTGAGTCCAGTTTGGCCATGGTAAAAACAGGAATTATATGTTGATTCTAGCAAACCTAGTTTGAGAAATTTCATAGAGAAATATTTGCACTCCTGAATCAAGACAGTTGACCATTGCAGCCCTGTGTATAGCAACAAGACATGGCATCCCTCAGGAGGAGAGTGGCCACGTCAGCTGTGGTGTACTTAGCTTATGAAATGCTTGGCAGATACTAAGGTGAAGATAGTTGAGCTCTGTGTGTGTGTGTGTGTGTGTGTGTGTGAGAGAGAGAGAGAGAGACAGAGAGAGAGAGAGAGACAGAGACAGAGAGAGACAGAGACAGACAGACAGACATGGAGAGACCTTGTGTATATGGCAGTGTTTGGTGTGTGTGTGTGACATGGAGAGACCTTGTGTGTATGGCAGTGTTTGGTGTGTGTGTGTGACATGGAGAGACCTTGTGTGTATGGCAGTGTTTGTAGTTCTGTTAGGGGGGTTTGTTCTTTTCCTGGTTTTGATACAGGATCTCCTTGTGTGGTTCAGCCTGGCCTCAAACTCATAACCCTTCTGCCTCAGCCTTCCCAGTGCTGGATTGACAGGTGTGAACCAGTATGCCTGGCAGTTCTGTTGTTGTAATGGGAATTTTACATATGCAACACTAAGCTGTCAGCAGTGTTGACACTACGAGGATGGCCATTGAGGGCTCGAAAGGGAATTTCATATTTCTCTTTGTCCTCGGATTTGTTTAAGACTTTAAGTGAGAGTGTGTCATAAAAACAAAAGGAAATCTCAAATATTTAGTCTTAGTCCTTTTTATAGTTTTTAAGACCTATTTTGAGATAATAAATAGAAACAATCTGATATATTATAGAGTATGAATGTTCTTAAGACTTTTACCCATCCTAGTAAATCATTTTATAGGCTAGATATACTACCATTCTGTCACTAGACCCTTCCTTGCGCCTTCTCAAACTGTAATTAAAAATGCTCCACAACACACGTAGAAGGCTTATTTAGATGTCTTTTTGTTTGTGTGAATTGCTTTGTCCATGTCCTCAATCTTCTTTTCTATTAATTAATAAGAATCTATTAACCGGGAGGAGGTGGCACACGCCTTTAATCCCAGCACTTGGGGGGCAGAAGCAGGCGCGTCTCTGTGAGTTCGCGGCCAGCCCCATCTACAGAGTGAGAGAGTGAGTGCCGGGACTGTTATATAGAGAAACCTTGTCTCAGAAAACCAAAAAAAAAAAAAAGAAAGGAAATCTATTTAAATAATGTCAACATTTCTTTTTATGTTGGCATCTTTTTTATTACATATTTTAACTTTTTTTCTGTGTTAAATATACTATTGTCATCATATGTAATATTTTTCCAGTGACTTAGTATCATACTCCATACATATGATGTGTAATCAGTCACTCAGGTAATGAACATACAGTTATCAGCCCCACACCAGGCTAGAATGGACAGTTGGTTGGTGTTGTAATGCATTTGAACTATGTGCAGCAATGATACCTATTTTCCCGTGTTTAAAGTAATCAAGTGGGACTATGTTTAGTGATTTTTTTTTTTAAATTCTCCATTTTATTTATTTACCTCTGTGTGACAAATAGTCTAAAATGCTAAGGGTGTACAGGAAGCACACTGGCTTGTGGTCAAGGATTAGGTGGAAGTCAGTGGATTCCTTCCTCCAGGTTTTCTGGGTGAAGGATTGAGTGCCCATAACACTGAGAACAACTATATACTGCAATAAAGATCTTTATAATAGACCCCTTCTCGCTTTCCTTCTCTCTTTAAAAACAAACAACAAACAAACAAACAGAAGTTTTCATCAGAAAAGATTGGACATGAAAGATGACATCAGATCCATTGAATGAATGGTTGGTTCTGATATAAAGAGATAATTTAAGTCAATTGAAATGAAAATGCTGGAACTCCTTAAAAATTAGCACACAAGGACCAGGCCAGGCATGACAGCAAACGCCTTGCTGATCTCTGAGTTCGAGGCCAGCCTGGTATACAAAGCAAGTTCCAAGACAGACAGGGCTCTTACACAGAGAAACCCTGTTTCAAAAAACAAACAAACAAACAAAATTAGCACACGTTAGTGTTAAAGTTAGTTAACTTTCCTTTTAGATACAAATCAGTTGTCTCACAATAAAAAAGATAGAATTGGAGAACTAATGTTCAAAACACCTGGCTTAACCTTACTTAGTAAAGAGTCTAAAGCAAGGACAGAGCTCTTCTTACCCTGTATGAAGGATTGAAGGCCTCGGTGTCCCCAGTGGGTGGCTGAGTACTTTAATTGTGACTTTGGATTTTCTGTCATCCATAGTCTTCAGTGCTAGGGCTCAGAGCCATGGCCATAAACAGTGCAAATACTCCACCACTGCTACATTCTAGCTTGAATTTTAGCTGTTCAAAATCTCTTGTGACAAAAACCCAAGCATCTGATAACCGTAAGTCACTTTTAGAAATATAGAAACCTTAATATTGGATTTTCAGAAGGAATGAAGTTCTTCATGAAAATAGTATTCTAATGAAAGAATATACTGTTAAAAGTTGTATAAAAACTAGCTGAAAAGTCTTAATTCTCTGTACATAATTATAATAGTATCTAACAAATAATGGAATTTGTATTTTAAAGATTCTGACAATGGAGATATTAATTATGATTATGTTCATGAGTTGTCGTTGGAGATGAAGCGTCAGAAAATACAGAGAGAATTAATGAAGTTGGAACAAGAAAACATGGATAAGAGGGAAGAAATTATCATTCAAAAGGAGGTATGTGTATTGAAGGGAATGTGTTCTTAACATAGATGTGGCTATTGGTCACAGAAATCAGCTCCATGCTGTAGCTCGTCTAACACAGTGATGAACTGTTCAGTTCTCCACATAGCAGCTACACCATAAAAGAGTAATCATTCAATCTTCACATGACTTGTTAAGTTCAGAATGCTTTTGCTGTTGAACCAAACTGACACTCCATTGCCTGTACCCGTCAGCCTGATACAAAATGAGTTCTGCACATCAGGCCCATGCTGTTTCTAGATTGCCCTGTCCACTTTTCTAAGGTATGGAAATTCATTTGGAAATAATTTCTGATTTTCCTGAGGAAATTTTGAAAAATTTTAACTTTAAACTGGTTTTTAATTTTTTTACTCAGGTTTTTTGATTTTTTTTTTTTGTTCCCCCGACTGTTTTAAGATATGTGATTTTTTTTTTTTTTTTTTTTTGGTTCTGTGAGTTTCTGAATTAACTTACTAAATTACTTTGACAGGTTTCCCCAGAAGTGGTTAGATCAAAATTGTCTCCATCACCTTCTCTGAGAAAGTCTAGTAAATCCCCAAAGCGGAAGTCAAGCCCTAAGGCATCTTCAGCTAGCAAGAAAGAACGGAAGGCTGCTGTGGTGGCTTCTCCACTGTTGGACCACCAGAGGTCAGTAGGGTGACTTCAGTGCCAAGAGCAGACTATTTCTGCAGGGCTGCTACCAGAACTGCTTAACTATAGAAGGGGATTCTGAAACACAGTGAAACAAATGTCCAATCCCATTCACACACTGGAGCTTTCTAACTCTGGGATTTTGTGTAGGTAGTGTGTATGCTTATGTTTTCTTATACTTTAGCCAGTATGTATCATTTTGCAAAGTAAGTACCGTTTTTATGTATTGAATTGGAGCACAGATGTATACTACAACTTTCTTTGTTCAGGTTGCCTTTTTTCTTAACATTTTTTAGCTTTTAGTATTTATACTTCATATTTATCTTTCTGTTGTCCAACATTTTTTATTTCATTTTTTAAGCATTATCAGTTATGAACAGGGAGTGTTCTACTTATTTTTTTGTTTACATGTCAAGAGATTAGTTGTTTTAAAGTATGCACTCAGCAGTATGTACATTTGATTGTGTATTTGCTATAGCAGTCAGCTAAAGAAATAAAAATAGGAGTAATGAAATATAATTACATTAAGGACTAAGAATAAGACAGGAGACATTTAAATATCCCTCTACTATATAACTTTGAATTAAGGTACATACACTAATTTTTTTTTTTAACTAAAAACATGCCCTAATACTATTTGGCAAATCCTGTTTAACTGAACCCACAATAAAGCTCATGTTATCTCCTGCTTTTAGACCATAACTCAGACTTCAGTTACTTTATTTGCCTACATAATGTGATGCCCACCTCTGAATAAGGCATACAGATTTTCACTCGAATACCTCAGACCATGTACTTTTTAGATGCTATAAGAGAAATCTTAAAAGAATAATTCCAATTAAATTTTATGCTGTTGAAAAGCTGGTTTTCTCTTCTCCAAATGAAACTCAAATTCGTTAAGAATGACATTTATGCTTTGACCTTTTCTGTCTTGTCGATATTTTTATTTAATTCTGTCTTACCTTCTTAGTTCTCAATACTCAATTCTGCAGGTTTTAGCCTAAATTCTCAATTTGCTGTTAGGTTTCCCCATTTTTTTCTTACTCTACATAATTTTTTCCCTATTTGTGTAGATTCTTTTTTTGTCTTAATTGCTGTTTGCATTATAGTTCAGCTGTGGCATGTGTGTTTTACAGCCTTTATTAGATTTAAGCTTCTTGAAAATTGGGCCTTGATGGTTCATTGTTCTATCTTCCCACTGCTCCTCCTTTGCCTGGAGCTTTTGCTTTGTAGCAGGCGCTCTGGGAACCCTCTTTGTTCCTAGGATTGAGTGATACTGTGAAGGGTGTGAAAGAGGCCGACCTTTAGAATGGTGTGAGGTATCCTGACTTGCTCTTCTTCCTCTTGACTGTTAGTTATACCGCTTACACTCAGGTCATCCATTTGTCCAACAAATTGTATCACCCGAACAGCCTTTCTTTTTCTTTTTTTTTTCACTCTTTTAAGTTTATTCTTCTCATAGAAATTTTTAATAACTATTTAGATATAAAGGATTGATTTTATCCAGTGTTTCATATAAACGTTTACTATTTGTCATTTGCACATTCTTTGATTTATTGATTTGAATTTCATCATATTGATTTAAGAACTCTATTTCCTATATTCTAATATTTTGGTGCCCTTAAGATGTACCTTTAAAATATAGAGCAGAAGGTTCTGTAAAACAATACATTATAAAAGTACAAGGAAAACACAAAATTAAGTATAGATTTTTTTTTTTTTTTAATTGAAACAGTCTTATGTAGCTCAGGCTCATCTCTGAAGCTTCCTTGAACTGGTATCGGGTCTTACCCCTACTCCCCAAGTGCTGGCATCACGTGGATGTGTACCAACACACCCTACACAAGTACAGTGTTTATTTTTAATATTTCTTACTATTGTGTATAGGAGAGTAGGCATGCTCATACCACAGCACGCCAAGCACAATGTGGTCTGAGGACAGCTTTTGACCTCTGGGGTAGTCATTTGTCTCCTTCCATCATGTGGGTCCCTGAGATCAAACTCAGTTTATCGGGCTTCTGCAGCAAGTGCTTTGACCTGCTGATTACCTTGTCAGCCTTTGTGCCCTTGAATCTGTCAGATGGTCAGGGTGTGTGTGTGTGTGTGTGTGAATAATGGGGGGCCTTGGATGTGCTACATAATCATTGTATCACTGAGCTACAGCTGTAACATGCAGGTAACTTACTTTTAATTTCATTGCCTAGTCATACTATAAACTGTTGGAAGACATATTAAACTTAAGGATTGGACTTTCTGTTAAAATTGAATAGGCTATTTCATGCAATGCTAGTGAATCAACTGAATGACAGAAAGACGTGTTGGTCCTTTTAGGGTAGCATAGTGGACATATATAATTACTGGTAAATGAAGTCATGCTTTTCTCTGAAAGCTGACTTCTTTCTCTGATGCTCACTCTAGTCTAGTATGATAGTATCTGGAGATGTGCATTACAATGTGATTTAGAATCAAATGCATTCTCTGTTTGACCATTTGCTTTTTTAACCTAGGCCAAGTTTTCTGTATAGATACTTTTATATAGAGAAATAGGAAATGTGTTTAAAGTTGTTTAAAGTAGTTACAGAGTGATGTAAAAATGATAAAAGTAGACAGTGGGCTCTTTGCCACCAGTAGGAGGTACATTGATTTAGTATTGTTAAAAGTAGACTTTAAAATGGTGGACGATCTTGCTGAGCTCAGTCTCTTCATTTGGAAAACAATTTAGTAAAATAGAATTTTGTTTTCCAACCCTGTGTTTTTAAAGGTGATATGAAGAAATTCCAAATTTATTACTTTTTAAGTTTGAGAATTCCAACTTCTCATATGTCCTCCCACCCTCTTTCAAAATCATGGCCTCTTCTGTAGTTATTTTATACATACATACACCCCTCCCACACACACACACTGATGTTGCCCTTATTTTATTAAGTTCTTTAAGACGTCTCTTGTAATATTAATAGCTAAATCCTAAGTTGTTATTAGTGATTTAACACAGCAGCAGTTTCTCAGGCATATGGAATCAAAATGGATGTTTCTGTGCTGGAGAAATGGCTCAGCCACTGAAGTGCTGGCCTGCAACAGTGAAGACTTAAGTTTGATCTCCAGAACCCACATAAACAGACAGGCATAGTGGTATGCACTTGTAATCCCTGACTGTGGAGACAGAAATAGGAAGGATCCCTGGAGCTAGCTGGACAACCAGTGAGCTACAGGCAAACGAGGGACCCGTCACAAAGGAGGTGGCAGCCTTCACAGGGGTGACACATGAGGTTGAGCTCTGGCCTCCACACATGGGGGCAAATATGCACCCACTGACCATGTTGAATTTTCTTGGACTTGAATGGGATGTATAAGAGAAATAACTGGATATTGTACTTACTTAGCTCTGTGGTGTACAGTAGCCTGGTATATGGAAACCCCTGAAGAGAACTGTGCTGTAGAGAGTGTGGTTCAATGCTGGACCAGGAGGAAGATTGGTGAACATCCACTTGTCTCTATTATGTGGAGTAATGTGGAAATAAGTTTTTGTGAAGAACTCCTCCATATATTAACCTTTTGAATCTTAGCATGAATGACAAGTATTGTCTAGTTTCTCCTTAAAGTGGGTAGAAGTTAGAAATAGAGACATTTATTACCATATTGTACATAAAGAGTTTCTATAATCTCATAAATAATGTATTGAGGTTTGTGGCTATTATGGTTGTTGGTAGAAGATAAGGATGCAAAGATTTCGTCATCAGATTTTAAGAATTTCTTTCTTATGTAAGTAGCTGTTCCTGTCTACATTAATAACAGAGGGATATGGACCAAGAGAGCTCAATTTTCTGAAAGCTAACCATGAGTCAAATGCTTTTATGCTTTTAATCTTTTAAAAATCTTACCAGCAATTCTGAGAACTGCACTATCCATTATAATAATATAGTCAATGAATCTTGGGACTGCAGAGAACTCAAGGTCACATGAAATAAGCTCCAGTGAAACCTCACTACAAGTATGAAGACAAGGGGCTCCTTAAAATCCTAGGACAATGGACACTAAGAGCAGATGGCGTATTCAAAAGTGTCCACACAGAAAACAGGAATAAATTTAGATACATTCATAAGAATATTGCAATGCTGGGTGGTTTTTTGTTTGTCTGTTTTTGGGGTTTTTTTGTTTTGTTTTGTTTTGTTTTGAAATTGTAAAAAAATCTATGTAAAGATACTTTGGGGAGAAAAGACTTTCATGTACACTGCGATTATTAAATACAGAATTAGTAGAATGATTGTGACTTAAAAATATGCAACTTGAAGACAAATTTGAGATTGTGGTAGAAGCAACTGGAGATTGCTCGCTGTAGTCGCATCTGTTGCTTTTCTGCAACACAAGTGTTGTGGCCAAGAAACCATTGCCAAGTGAAGTGTTTATCCTTCATGTTTTCTTCTAAGAATTTTAAATTTTGAGTTGTATGTTTCAATCTTTGACACAATTTGAATTAATTTCTATATGTGATACAAGATAAAAGTTCCGCTTCATTTTTTGTACATGTATATCTGGTTTTAAATGACTAGCTATAAAAAGGAAGAGACATAGAAGTATTGAAGTGTGTTAAAGGTTTTTATAATCGCTACATTGGTGTATAGCTTTCCTTTTGTGTTTGCTTTCTTATAGGGAGAGTATTTTGAGACAATGTCTTGCTCTGTGGTCATGGCTGACCTAGTGGTATTCTATGAAGCACAGAGTGACCTTGAATTCATAGCAGTCTTTCCCCAGTCACCTAAGTGCTGGGATTACAGGCATGCATACCTTTTTCATCTACATTTCTATATGTGCTTTTAAAAAATTGCAACTTTAGCAGTGGTTTTTATAATGTTAGGTCTTTTCCTGAAACCCTTCCACTGTCCCTAACTTCTCTTAGAAACCACCATTTGGAATGATAAAACTAACAAGCATTGTTTTAAAAAATAAACAGTTAATAAATTCTTTGCTCCTTCTCATGTTCCCCCCTGGATATCGGTTATTACTATACAGCATAGTAAAAGGACAAGTAATTGAAAAGAATGTTGCTGCTCTTTAAAAAGCACTTTAGAATCATCCAGGTGGGGTTCCAGAAATGGAGACCTCTAACTGTAGCTTTGTGTACCTTCAGGACTTCAAAAAGCAACCAAAGTAAAAAGAAAGGGCCACGGACTCCTAGTCCACCTCCTCCTATACTGGAAGATATCATTCTGGGGAAAAAATACAAAGAAAAATATAAAGTGAAAGACAGGATAGAAGAAAAACCAAGAGATGGAAAGGACAGAGGTCGAGATTTTGAAAGGCAAAGAGAAAAAAGAGACAAGCCAAGGTAAGTAGAATTGTTTAGTCAATGTTTCTGTGAAACTAAGATTCCTCACTGCAGAAGCTGTGGGGCATAGGTGGATAGATTTTTAAAATTATTGTTTTCAACTGTGTATTGTTTAATAGTTTCCACAATGAGTCATGAGTTATATATTATTTAACATCAAATGATCTTAGTGTCTTTACTAAGTGAAAGTTGAAAATGATAACCATATTAGATGCATAAAGTTGCATGTATGGACAGCAGTATGAATAGGTCTCCAGAATGTCATTCTGTACATCTGGGACTGCATTCATCACACAGTACTCTCCCCCACACCATTCTGGTTTCTCTGAATTTAATGGCTTTTGATTCCTCATATGTAGTATCATTCAATATTTGACTGGCATATTTTATTTAGTATAATATCTGGAAAGCTCATTCATATTGTAGCATTGCAGAGTTTTCTTCTTGGTAAGGCTGAGTATATTTCATATGGCGCAAATCATATTTTGTTTCTTTCCCATTTTGATGAAGTTTATTTTTCTAACCCAATTGCTCAGGCTAAGCTTTTGCAAACTACGTTGAATAGAAAGAGCGCCCTTCCTGTAGTGCTTGTCGTATAGGAAAAGCTTCCATCTTTTTCTGTTAAGTGATATGTTGACTCTGGACTTTTCATAAATGGCTTATTGATTACCATCATCATTTCAAACAGGGTCTCATTATGTAGCTCTAGCTGCCTTTGAACTTGCTATGTAGACTAGGGTGGCATGGAGCTCACAGAGGCCTTAAACTGTGCCTCTTGAGTGCTGGGATTAAAGGCATGTGCAACCATGCTCAGCTCTACTGAGTACTATTAAGTGTTGTCTTTTGTCAGATGTTTTTGTGAGTTAGTATGCCTGAGTGATTGTTTCCTCCTTTTACTAATGTGGTATATTTTATAAGTCATTTTTCAAAACGTTCCACCACCCTTGCATTCTAGGAATAAATCCATTTGGTCATGGTGTGTATACCTTTAACATGCTGTTCAAATTACTTTGCTAGTACTTTATTGAAGATTTTTGCATGTGTATTCATTTTCTTCCTTGTTTATAAGATTTGTGAAATACAGCTTTGATGAGAGCCAGATTCATCCTTGATCAGTTTTCAGATTAATTCTTCTGTAAATTTAATGCTTCCTTTGAAAAAGCATAATCTCTTTCCTTCTTCCTCTTTCTTTCTCCCTCAAACAGCTGGACTTTGTAAAGATTTTAAGAAAGTAGGGAGATAGCTTGGTGGTCTGTAAGCAGAAGAACCTGAGTTCAGTTCCCAAATGCCAACAAGAATCCAAATATGTCTGTAACCCCACCACTGCAGGGTGAGACAGATGGGTCCTGAGGGCCAGCTGGTCAGCCAGCCTAGCTGATGCACTGATGTCTAGTTCAGTCAGAGGTCCTGTGTCAAGGCAGAGATTGTTAGAGGAAGTTACTCGACATCCTGCTCTGGCCTTCTTGTGCATCCCTCCCTTCCAAAGAAAGATCTTAATACAAAAACTATAGGAGAGAAAGCACAAGGACAGGATACAGTTCTCATTTTCCAGGACAGGCGTGGCCTTCTCAAGAGAGTAGCCCGTCTTTTGAGTTTCAGTGTGATCAAAATTTTGAAGTTACATGATCAGGGCAGACATTTTACATGACTCTGCTTTGTTATAAAATCCTAAGCAAGTTACTAGGTCTCTGACGTTTTTCAGTTACAAAATATCCATAATACTCTTCATTGAGTTCAAGTCAGGACTAAATGAAGGAATACTTCTTAAAACTAAGCTAAAATGTTCAGTATTATATGACCACTCCATGGCAGAAACTTGGGCTTTACTCTTGGGATTATGCTCTAAAGTTGGCTAGATTCTTATCTCCTGTTTCCAGTGGAAATGCTTATGTATTTCTACTGTATGTTAGAGCAGGCCAGCTCCATTGCTTAGCACATACCTTTTACATAAACGTGGGAATCAGGGTCCAGTCAGGCTCTGAGCCATAGCTGCCACTCCCTGTCTTGATCTGCAGTCTTTTTGTTTTCATAATTCTTGGTCATTGGCTTTTTTTTTTTTTTCTTTTTTTAGAGCAAGAGAAAGAGGATTGATCTCTGTATTATGTAGCTCTGACTGTCCTGGAACTTATGCTTGTCTTGGACTCACAGCGATCCACTTGTCTCTGCCTCCTGAATGCTGAGATTAAAAGTGTGGGCTAACATGCCTGGCTGGCCATTGACTTTTAAAGTAGTAGAGGAGAAGAAAATGTAAGGATCTTTAAATCAACATTTTTCTGAAACTTAAAAGAGCATATGAGAAGGAAATATGGTTAACATGATAAAGCCATTGTTTGGTGATAGATTAGTATTCTGGCTTTAATGTGTTATTTTGATTATTTTAAGCTTAAACAGTAGTTTTCCTTTTAGGCACCAAGGTCTACTAGAAATGGACTACATGGTACTTTTAAAAGATACTGTAGATTAACTGGGACTTTTGTATGTATGTTCTTTGAGCCGATCATCAAAGAATATTATAGATACTCTTGAATCAGGTTTTTAAATGTAATTTAGAAAGTTGACTGCCGGATAGACATGTCTCAAGTGGTAGCACTTCTACCGGTCTTTTATTAGTTCCATCAATCTCCTGACTGCAGACGTGGCTGTGTTGCCGTGGCCCCACCAGCCACTGTTTTCATGCAGGAACCACAGCGCCAGATGCCAGCTACTTGTCTCTTCATCTGGGCCTTGCCACAGAAGGAAGGAGCATGTGTATTTGGCATGCTAGCTGATTTTAGTTTTCTTCACCATTTTCCGGAGGGAGGCACCATAGTGGGTCCTGGATTTCCTTATGATCCCTACCTTCTTGGTGCATTTAGCCATATCACGAGAACCTAAGCCCAAGAGGACCTGGAGAAGACCTCTTGAATCAGTTTTCAGTGTATCCCTGTAACAAATTAAGAACTGAATTCAGTCGCAGTCATTCTTCATTTCTTTTATTTTTAAATACTTTTTATTTGGGGGAATCATAATATAATTACATCTTTTTTCCTTCCCTTTTTTTTTTTCCGACCCTTCCCTTTTCTTTTTCTTTGTTTTTTTTCAATTTCTTGGCTTTTTTTTGTTTTGTGTGTGTTTGTTCTTAACTACATAAATACAACCTTCTCAGTCTGTATGTTACTTGTATGTGTATTTTCAGGGCTGACCATTTGGTATTGGATGACCAGTTGATGTGCTCTTAGGGAAGACTGTTTGTCCTGCTTCGAGTATTTGTTAGTTGTTTGTAGTTCTTTGTCTAGGTTTGAGGCCTCATGAGCTCACCTCTGTCCATGTCAGTGTGTCTCTTGGTGTCATCTTGTTCAGATTTTGTTTAGACAGTCCTGTTGGTGAGACTTTGTGGGTGTAGCTTCTGCCATTTCTAGGAGATGGAGTCTCACAGAGACTCTGATCCTCTGGCTCTTACACTCTTCCTACTCCTGCAGTGATCCCTGAGCTTTATGTGCAGGGCTTGTGTTGTGGATGTTTCGTGGGCCTGGGCTCCACAGTCTGCATTTTGATTGGCTGTGCTCTTCTGTAGTGGTCTTGTGTCCTGTTACCCTGGGGGGTTTAAGGACACACACTTAGAACGCAGTTAGGGATTCGTCTGGTTTAGTAAAGCGGCCGTTCCAGTTCATCTCGGAGGTTTCTTCTAGAGCTTGTGTTTGCACTTACTCATAAATCACTTACATCTTTAAAAGGTAATGCCTTGTAATTTTAGAGCATTGTGAATTAAAATGTACCCTGCCTTCTTATCTGTACTTCCAGCTTTAACTTTATATCCCATCTTATTTTTAAGGACTTTGCTTGGCTGGAATTGAAAACTCTTAAACAGTTTTCTTGTTGTTCTTCCTAGGTCTTCCTCCCCAGGACAGCACCATTCTCCTCTGTCTTCTAGACATCATTCATCCTCTTCCCAGTCAGGATCGTCTATTCAGAGACATTCTCCTTCTCCTCGTCGGAAAAGAACACCTTCCCCATCCTACCAGCGGACTTTAACTCCTTCTTTACGACGTTCTGCCTCTCCTTATCCAACACATTGTCTGTCTTCTCCTCAGAGAAAGCAAAGTCCTCCAAGGCATCGCTCTCCATTGCGAGAGAAAGGGAGGCATGATCATGAACGGACTTCACAGTCACATGATCGGCGTCACGAAAGGAGGGAAGGTATACTCTGTATTTGAGCTTTTTGTTTTTCAGAGTTCTTGTACTTTATTTTAAAATTGCACATCCATATTCATCATTACATAAGAAAGAGAAGAGGGTTGTGTTGTACTGAGTCTTCTGTAACATGCAGACTGGGTCAATAGCCAGTGCTTAAACTCAGAGAATCGTAAAGTATTAAGTATGCACAAGCAGGCACTTAGGTATGTAAACTGGTGCCTCCTGTGCTGTTTTAATGAGTACTTTTGGACATCTGAGTGTTGATGTATCACTCTCTGCTTCCTAATTTTTTTTTTTTTTTTTTTTTTTTTTAGAACAAGGAGAAAGTGAACTGGGGACTTAGTGGCAGAGCACTTGCCTAGTATTTTTGAGACCATAAAGTTGAGTCCCCGGCACCACAGAACGTAGACAGGCAACCCCAAGGAAGATGGAAGGAAGGAAAGCCACAGATAAGTGATCCGAGTTTAGAAGCGCAGGAAGGTGTGATAAAGGAGGCCAGGGGAAGCTCCCATAAAGTCGGTGCAGTTAACGGCTGGAATTTCTAGATGGAATCAGAATGAAGAAGTAAGAAGGCTTGGGAGTGTAGCCCAGTGGTGGAGCTCTTCCCATGTGTGAGTCCCGGCACCCCATAAAACAGTTTTGCTTTCTGGATCCCTGAAAGTGAAGTTGAGGCAGATGTGCTCTACCAGTTCAGACTGGATGGTGTATAGAGTAATAGCTCTCATCTCTTCCTACTTTGTGTGTTGTGCTGTCTGTGTGTGCACATGTGCGGCTTAGGTGTACATGTGTCATGTGGAGGCCGGAGGGTGTGTCTGTTGGTGTCTTCCCCTATTATTGTCCACCCAATTTTTGAGACCCTCTCTGGATGAAACTCAGCTCACCGAGGAGGCCAGACAGCCCCAGGGGTCCTCTTGTCTTTACTTCCCCATCACCAAGATTACAGGTTTAATTTTGTTACTTACCCTTATTCTCTCTTTCTCTGTTTAAAACATGAATCTCTTTTTGTAATAAAATCTTAAAAGCTGTGTGTGAAATGTACCATCTAGTTCCCTGAAACTGTAAACAGAATTAGAGTTGTTTTCTAAATGTTACAGAAACTCGAGGCAAAAGGGATCGAGAAAAGGACACCAGAGAAGACCGAGAGTCAGAACACGACCACAGAGATGACAGAGAACCTCGAGACAGCCGGGACCGAAGAGATACTAGAGATCGCAGGGAACTGAGAGACTCCAGGGACATCCGGGACTCCAGAGAGATGAGGGACTATGGCAGAGATACCAAGGAGAGCCGTGACCCCAGAGATTCCCGATCAGCTCGGGATGTGCATGACTACAGAGACCGTGAAGCTCGGGATGTTCGAGATGTTCGGGATGTTCGGGATGTTCGAGATGTTCGGGATGTTCGGGATGTTCGAGATGTTCGGGATGTTCGGGATGTTCGAGATGTTCGAGATGTTCGGGATGTTCGAGATGTTCGGGAAGTTCGAGATGCTCGAGATGCCCGTGATACCCGAGATGGTCGGGATGGCCGGGATGGTCGGGATGGTCATCGGAAGGATGATGCATACCAGGAAGAAGCCCGCAGTTATAGCAGAAACCACCTGAGAGAGGAGAGTTCTCGGGTTGAGCTAAGGAATGACTCTAGAAATGAGTCTCGGAGTGAAATTAGAAATGACCGGATGGGCAGAAGTAGAGGAAGAGGGCCAGAACTGCCTGAAAAGGGTAAGGTTTTTGGCATGTTAATGAACTGTATCTTGAATATTCACATAGAAAGCATTAAATATCTTAAGGTTTTTTTTTTTTTCTAAATGCATTACAACCTACATTTATTGTTAGTATTTTGTGAGAGTAATTTGTAGTCAGTTGAATTCCATATTGGAATTGCTAACTTGAGTAGAAAAACCTAATTACTAACTTAAGTAGAGTTGGGTGTGTCATGCCCACTGTACTGACTAATGTAGAATATTGTGAAAATAGCTACAAGTACAACAGAATCACAAGAAGGGAATGTCTAATAAACTGGTGTGAGGGGATTGAATGATTATTCAAGGAGAGTTAAAACGATGTATTGTCAAAATTGTTATCAAAATAATTGATTTATGTACTCAGTATTTATACTGTTTCAAACCATCATGTCTCATTTTCTTAATCCAAATATCTGTGAAATATTTTTGACTGCAAACTGCTGAGATTTAGTTAGTTTGGCTTCTCTCCTCATCCACTCCTCTAACCTCTTTCCAAGCCCGAAGACTCCCATCTCTTGGGCCTCCTGCTGGCTTGCCCATTATCCTTGTTGGGTAATTCACATTTAAGTGTAAAGGTCTTTTGGCTTCTCTGTAGTTGTCTTGGCTATTGTTTTAGGAAATTTTTTGTTTCTTTGTGTGTTTGTTTTGGTCTTGATATATAGCCTAGGATTACCTTGAACTTGAGATTTCCCTTGCCCCTCTTTCCTCCGGTATTGGAAGTATAGACATGCCTAGCCTCTAGGCCTTTCTTCATCCTTTACTTTTTCATGTAAATATTAGAAAAAAATTGCAATTTCATGAAAAGCTGTTGAATTTTTATTTAAAACATATTTAGCATATCAATGTATGCCTTTTCCCATTAAGATTTTATGCATATTTAAATTTTAAAAATCACAGCTGGGGTGTGGTAGTACATGCCTTTAATCCCAGCACTTGGGAGGCAGAGGCAGATAGGTCTCTGTACGTTTGAGGTCATCCTGGTCTACAGCGTGAGTTCCAGGACAGCCAGAGCTACACAGAGAAACCCTGCTTTAAAAAACATACATACATACATACATACATACATACATACACACATGATAAAAATATGTTGTGAAGGAATTAAGGATTCAAAGGATATTACAGAGAAATGAAAGGGAAGCTTCTGTGCCCTGGCTTTGCCAATGTTAACATCTTAACACAGAATCACAAGAAGAAATTAACACGGCCACAAAGCCTGTGTGCATATGTGAGTGTATACATACTGTCACATGAGTAGTCACACTGCCTTCTAATCAGGTAATCATTATACCATTGAAAGATTCCCATGTGTTGCTCCTTTGTAACCACACCCATTCCTTCCCCATCCTGGACTCCTGTGACCTCTAACAGGTCTCTTGTTTCATGACTGTTTTTTAAAGAAACCATTCTGTATGCATTTTGACACTGGCTTTTTTCACTTAGCACAATATTCCTGGGGTACATCCAGTTTGTTGCCAGTCTTTTGTTTCTTCTGGCCAAGTGTGATTGTATGGTAGATTTACATCATTTGTTTAACCCTTCACTGCTGAGAGAAGTTCAGGTACCTTCCAGTCTGGTGACTTGTTAGGAGTTAGATTACTATGAACAATGAACATTTTTTTTTCCCACATCTTTCTTTGTTGGGTTTTTGTTTTGTTTTGGGACTTGGGTCTCACTGTAGCCTGGCTTTGATCTTCTGTTCCTCCTGCCTCTTCATCACAGGTGCTGGGGTTATAGGCTTGTTCAACCATGCCTACTTCCCATGTCTTTTAAGAAAGCTCAGATACCATCTCATGTTGTCAAATTACCTTGGTTCTATATTGGAATATTTTCACAATAAACATACAATTAAAGCAATAATATATATCCCCATTTCCCCCGGTTTTTCATGCTGTATCTATATTAAATATGAAGTTGGGTTTTGTTTTGTTTTACTGTTTTGGAAGTTAGTTTCAGTCAGTCTTCTAGCTGTATGTTCCCATCAGATGACTTCCTTATAGATAGGATAAACTAAGGCTTAGCTTACTGTGATGTAGTCAGTCCTTGGACAGCTTGGGTTCTCTGGCCCACATAGTGTCTTTGTTGTTGTTTTGTTGTTTCTTTGACAGTGTATATAACATTTTAGAATTTAAAAAAATTTAAAACTTTATACTATTTTGAGGAAAGATTGTGACTGATTATCTTGTTGCATAAAATGTGTCTGTTAAATATTTTTGAACACCTTTTGTGTAGGAAGTCGAGGCACAAGAAGTTCCCAAATGGATAGCCACAGCAGTAGCAGCAACTACCATGACAGCTGGGAAACTCGAAGTAGCTATCCTGAAAGAGACAGATACCCCGAGAGAGACACTCGAGATCAAGCAAGGGATTCTTCCTTTGAGAGGAGGCATGGAGAAAGAGACCGTCGTGACAACCGAGAACGAGGTTTGTCCCATAGCCATGTATCCTTTAGTGCTCTTTAAGTGGATATCCAGCCACTTTTAACATGAAATGGAGTTTGGGATCTATACTTGGTTACATATTTGAAGCTATTCATATTTTGTGTGGTGCAGGAGTGATTATGTAAATAGCTACCAGCACCTAATCAACAGATCTGAAGAAGTTGGGTTGCCCTATTGCTTGTGAATTATTGTCTGCCATTACCAGTTAAACCCCTGTAGCCAAAAGTCCTGGCTACTCAATAATTAGCTGTTGTAAGTCCTTTTTCAGAGTTCAGAGATCAACTAAGGTGGGGTGGTGGAAGGGAGGGGGAGAGAGAAAGAAGGGGGGGGTGGGTCATATGGTGATGATAGGGCTGAGGATTATCCAGAAAGACATGTTTGTATTCTGTCCTGAGAATCTGTACTCGATGCAGCTAGTTTCTTTTCTACATCTTAAATAGAAGTTTCCTGATGATCTGTTAGATGATCTTTAAATCAGTTTGAAGCAGGATTACTAAGAAGTACATAAGGATTAGATGCAGAACAGAGTCTCTGTGATACCATCTACTTACCTTAGAGGGTTTATTAAACATCAAGGAAAGATATTTAAGTAGTGGTGTAGAAGCAAGAGAAGCAGCCAGCTTTGCAAAATGATAAACAGATTCTACTGAGAATAAAGAATAGGTACAAATCCCTGAGATGAAATAACTACTCTACTATGTCCTAGAGTATAAAAGAAAACTGGTATGGCTATAGTATGCTGAGCAGGGGGAAGATGGAGGGAGGCTGAGGGTGGATGTATACTCGGACATAACTTGTTCTCACTTTCACAGTCTAAGGAGGGCATACACAGACAACTGAGATGTGGTGATTGCCAGGACTATGTAAAGTTCTCTCAGGCAGAGTAACAATCCTGTGGAATGTCAAGAAAGTCCCCTTAAGCAAAGAGGTATTGTCTGCATTAGCCTAGAGACTGTGTGAGCTTGCTGGAAGCAGTGGGAAAGTGTGGACTTGGTATTGGTGGCAAAAATAGGCATACAGGCCTGAAGAGACTCATCTGCTCCCAAGTAGCAAGCATTAAGTTATGGGCTGCGGTATGGGCTCCTGCGATTGGTAGCAGAGCAGCTGGAGGAAAAGACTATAAGCCATGAACAGCCTCTAAACCAGACTGGATGGTCAGATTTCATTGCTTTTTCCTGGCTACAAGTAACTTTTTTTTACGCACGTGGGTCTGAGTTTTCAAGAGAAACCTGTGCATCCGGTCAGGGAACTGAAGGCAGACACTGACCACTTAGACTGTTGTCATCATCTGAGAAGAGCTGAGCGACTTCTGTACTAGGTAGCGCTGTAGAGCGGGGGGCTGGAAAAGAGAGAAGTGTTGGAATGGAGTCTGTGTGCCTGTGTGGAAGGGGAGTGGGAAACATGAGGGGGGAGAAGAGAAGGATGGCAGTTTGCCACGGCGCTGTGGCACTCGGTAGAACGTTTGTATTTTTCTTTAAGATAGGAAGTTTCGGCTGGGATCATAAAGGTTTCATCTGTCAAACAAGTGACAGGACACTCCGGCTTTTGGTGCCGCTGCGTCCAAGGTCACAGATAGGAACTCCTGGGAAACCGCCGTACTGGGTGTTTGGTTGTTGTTTTTCCAGTTATTTCGTAACGCTGATTTTGTTTATGATTACCAAAACAGAAATTGCCCCAAACATGGGTCTGTTGGAAAAAAAAGTTGTGATACAGTAGATACATTTTTAAAGTTGTAATGGATTTCAGCAAAAGTAAAAAGGAGTGAGAAAAGCAGACTTTTGTTTCTGCTATTTCTGATTAACTCTGGCAAAATTACCAGAATCACTTCCATGCCAGAGTTGCTAAGATTTTACAGAAAGAACAGTAAAGACTCAGTAGGATTTCATTGTGTTTGAGCTTTAAAAGTCTATGAACTTTTGAAATGGACCTAGAAACTCTTTTTTGTTGTTGTTGTTTCGAGACAGGGTTTCTCTGTGTAGCTTTGAAGCCTTTCCTGGGACTCGCTCTGTAGCCCAGTCTGGCCTCAAACTCACAGAAATCCACCTGCCTCTGCCTCACGAGGGCTGGGATTAAAGGCGTGTGCCACCACCACCCGGCGGGACTTAGAAACTCTTAAGGAATAAATGTAGATAAATGTAGACAAATCTTATTTTTTGACTTTTTTTTTTTTCAAACAGGGATAAGGCAAATTCAAGTTTCTATAATACTCTGTAATATTCTGAAACTAACTACTTAATAGACATTCTAGTTGCCAGCCTGTTGAACATACTGTAGCATGATTTATTGATTAACCAGCCAGTAGACACTATTATATAGCATGAAAGTAATCTCCTAGATTGCCCTGTCAGTGGACACAGAGCATGGACATAGTCTCCTAGATGACAGTGTCCTAGATCGTGTCCCTGTGTCCCTGTGAAAAGTGTGTCTCTTTGGAGAAGAGTCTGTGCCATGTCCCAGGGCACAGTTTTGATCCCAGACTAGTTTACTGTTCAGCCAGGCATTTGAGCAGCATGTATTCAGTTTCTCTGTTCACAGGGTTTGTGTGAAGACTGGCGGAAGAGAAATATGTAAGAGGCAATGAGACAATCATTTTAAATACATCAATAAATGGAATTTTGTAATTTGATTACTTTAAGGTTTAAAGGCATCAGTACCCCCAATTCTAGCTTATTAGAAATTAATGTTGCAGCCACAAGTTTTAAACATTGGTTTGTTCTTTATTTTCTCACTTGATAGCTGTACTTTGGTGTAATATATTTGGGGCCGAAATTGGGTGTGACTTACAAGGGAAATGTTTTTCCTCCAGCTCCTATGTTCTACACCTCCTGCCGCCCCTCTCCTTGGCCACCAGTGTTCTCAGGTCCTGCTCGGGGGACAGAGAAGATAAGGGGTGAAGGGTGGAGATGGCAGGAAGTGGGGTTGAAAGAGTGGGCTGCAGACAGGGTAGGAGCATGCAGAGGGAACCCCAAGATGGAGCAGTACAGAGTGGGGCTTGGTGGGAAGCAGAAAGCAGGGCTGCTAGAGGGCAAGTGAACATCGTGTTTAAGAAAATAGTGTTTAAAGGCTGCAATGATTAAATGAAAAGTTAGTTCAGTACCTGATCTATAATTTGTTGCTACTGTGACCTGACACTATTCTCAGATAAAATTTAAGACTTACCTATAAGTTACCTGACAAATCAATCACTGACCACTTGATTTTTATTGTAGATCAAAGACCAAGCTCACCTATTCGACATCAGGGAAGGAGTGAGGAGCTTGAGCGTGAGGAAAGGAGAGAGGAGCGGAGAGTAGACAGGGTGGATGAGAGAAGAGATGAACGGATCAGAGACAGAGACAGGGACCGAGAGCGAGAAAGGGAGCGGGAGAGAGAGCGCGAACGAGATCGGGAGCGAGAAAAAGAAAGAGAAAGAGAACTAGAAAGAGAGCGAGCTAGAGAGCGGGAGAGAGAGAGAGAGAAAGAGAGGGAGAGGGAGAGGGAGCGAGAACGAGAGAGAGATCAGAGAGATCGTGACCATGATCGGGAGCGAGAAAGAGAGAGGGAACGGGAGAGGGAAAAAGAACGGGAGCGGGAGAGAGAAGAAAGAGAGAGGGAACGAGAACGGGAGCGGGAGCGCGAGAGAGAAAGAGAGCGGGAGCGAGAAAGGGCAAGAGAAAGAGAGAAAGAACGAGAGCGGCAAAGAGAATGGGAAGACAAAGACAAGGGCCGCGACGACCGCAGGGAGAAGCGCGAGGACATCCGAGAGGACCGGAACCTCAGGGACAGCCACGAGGACAGGAAGTCCAAGTAAGGAGGGCGGGACTTCAGTGTTCTGCTCAGCTCCACTTCCTGTACCGCCAAGCCACTGCGTGTGTATGCGTGCGTGTGTGTATATGCGTCATATATTTATTTTGTGTTTAAAATGTTTATAGTTGTCTAGAAAAATAGTTCTGAGTGCTGTTGATAGATCCCTGGGTTATAGTTTTTCATATTTGTCTATTTTTGTTCTCCTTCTCACCACGTAAAGAATAATAAATGCAGTCTTCAGACACTGTAGGCATCTTTCCTATGGTTTCATACTTTGATTAATATGTTTTGATGTATCTACTGCCTTTCAATAGCAATTTCTTTCTGATTTTTTTTTTTTTCATATCTAACCAACTCAAAAATCGAACCTAGAAAGTTAGGAATGATGTTACATGTAACCAAAATAGTTAAATGAGAATAATAATTTCATCTTTTCATTGCATCCTCATCTCAATGCTCTAAACTTACCTAGAACTTTAAAAACAAAAGCATTGTTTTATGTAGGTTTGCTGAATTACCATAGTATTTGCTCTGTTATTCTAATTTCAGATTTTCTTAGAAGTAATTTAAGTGGTCTCTCCTGTGTTGTAAATTCTGCCCCTTGCCGTGTTGACAGTTTATCCCAGAAGTGAGCAGTTACAGGATTCTGTACGTGAGCTCTTTGACCTGGGCTCAGCAGAGTCTGCTGGTGTCACTCAGCACTGCCTGCTGTGGATCTGCAGTTGACTTGAAAATTCACCAAGGCAGGAGGGCCCAAAGTGCCTCCATCACAGGTCCAGCAATCCCAGCAGCATCTTATTTCTCCTCCACATGACCCTTAGCCTCCAGTAGTCCAGACTGTGACCCCAAAGCTCCCGATCCTCCCCATGTTCATACAGTATGGCTGGTAGTCCATATTCTTGTGTATACCAAGTCTGAGCCCACCCAGATTTAAACAGTATAGAAACAGGCCAACCCTTGGAGACAAAGCTTTTACACAGTGAATTGCATGAGTTGGGTCCTGTGTGTTGTCATACTCTTCCTGGGGCTGCCCTACGTGTTCACTCATCTGTGTATGATGAGCTGTTCTTCTTCCTCAGCTTTTGACCCTGGTATCTAGAAACAGTGGTAACTCTTAAAAATTTAGGATTTAGTGAAAAAGAAGATCAGTTTATGAGCATGTGAGAAAACACTAGTAATTTACCCAAGGTGTTTAAGCTCCTACTCAGTCAAAGTTTAGTTACAAAATCAAATACAGTAAGTGTATGAATTATCTTTTGATTTGTCATTAAGCAAGTAATTTAGTTGTTTGTAGACAAAGGGGGTTTATATAGCATACCCACAGTGTGCACACATGGTACTAGACTTTTGTAACTAATTGAACTCACTTTAGTCTCATGAGAAGGGCTTTTGCTTTTTCTCCAAATTTTAGATGAGAGAACCAAGATTTGGGGACTTCAAGGAACTTGCTTAGGTTGCGTGGAAGTAATGTGGCTATAAGTCCATCACAGCTTTTTAACTTCCAAAATAACGAGATTTTTCTCACCCTCTTCTCTGCATGAGGCATATAAAATTGACGAGTTGTATTATAGGATACATTATTGTATTGATCTTTCTGCTGTATATTATCAGCTTGTAGTATGTAGATCTGGCAGGTTTCCCTCGAGTGTCTCATGTGTATGATCAGAGAAATGTCCCTGTGGATTTTAACTCAGTTTTACGTTTTAGCAAACGAAGTAGAAGAAATTTGAATAAATCCCCACGTGCCCTTGTGTGTACAGTCTGACTGCATTGCTTTCCTGTGATGACGCTTCAGCTCAGTGATGAGAGCGGGTAAAGAATAGAGTACAGAAGTCTTTTTCCACGTGGAACTTGTTAACTCGTATTTGTCCAAATTTAGGAAACGCTATAGGAACGAAGGGAGTCCCAGCCCCCGACAATCCCCCAAGCGCCGGAGGGAGCATTCTCCCGACAGTGACACCTACCACAGCGGGGATGACAAAAGTGAGTAATCCGTTCTCTGTCTGCGCATGCTCATTGTAGCCATGAGCCCATCCTTTGCCGTCAGTCGCTGCCGATGAGTCCGACTTTTGAAAAATGTCCCTTTTCTCTGCTACTAAATGTTTCCTTGTGTGAGCAAGGTGTGTCAGGAATCCTGTTTCACACGAGGCCACTGTCTTTTCCTAATTTGGGTTGTTAGAGATGAGTTTTTATCTTTATTGCCATTTTGAAGGTTTTGAAATGAAAAGTGAGTTTGTAGTTTAAATGTGATGCTCTGTTTACTGACCTAATGGGGATGTGACTGCTTTTATTTTTGTGTAGATGAAAAGCATAGACTCTTAAGCCAGGTTGTACGGCCACAAGACTCGCGTTCCCTCAGCCCGTCTCACCTCCCAGAAGACAGGCAGGGTAGATGGAAAGAGGAGGAACGGAAAGCAGAAAGAAAAGAGAGCTCAAGGCGCTATGAAGAGCAGGAACTCAAAGAGAAGATTTCTTCTAGCGATAGGCAAAGGGAGCAGGCGGACTGCATGGACAGCTCCAGAGCACGTGCACAAGACCTGATTAGCCACCGCCAGCCTGAAGACCGTGACCGAGACCGCGACCGCGAGCGCGAGGGCCCTGATCGAGCCCACGATGAAAAGAAAAAAGCAAAAGCTCCGAAGAAACCTATTAAGAAGAAAAAGGAGGAGGATGTTGGACTAGAGAGGGCCAACCTTGAGACATCTGAAGATGTTCAAGTGTTTTCGCCAAAAAAAGGACAGAAGAAGAAAAACATTGAGAAAAAGCGTAAAAGATCCAAAGGGGACTCTGATGTCTCTGATGAAGAGATGGCGCCGCAGAGCAAGAAGAAGAGAGGCCCACGCACGCCCCCTCTGGCCATCAAGGAGGAACTGATTGACATTTGCACCGACAAGGACGGCATGCTCGAGGAGGACCCGCTGAAGAAGGAAGAGACAGCCTTTAGTGACTGGTCGGATGAGGACGTGCCCGACCGCACTGAGGGCATGGAACCAGAGCACACCGCGGCCGCTGCCACTCCGGGCAGCACCCCGTCCCCGCTGTCTTCTCTTCTCCCTCCTCCGCCCCCTGTGGCTGCGGCCAGTACTGCAGCCACTGCTCTTGCCTCCTCCTCCGCTTCGGCTGCCACCACCTCTGCCCTCGTTTCCAGCTCCGCTGTCACAGCCAGTGCCAGTGAAGACTCCCACAGAAAAGGCCACAGGACACGTGGAGTGGAGAAAGGAGAGGCATGTCATGTGACCCTAGAAGAGACACCACATCGCAAGCTGGTGGATCAGAAGAGGAGCAGCAGCCTGGGAAGCAATCGAAGTCACCGGAGCCACACCTCTGGTCGCCTGCGCTCCCCGTCTAATGACTCTGCCCATCGAAGTGGGGATGACCAGAGTAGTCGAAAGAGGGTGCTGCATAGCGGCTCCAGAGACCGAGACAAAACGAAAAGCCTGGAAATCACGGGAGAAAGAAAATCTAGGATTGATCAGCTAAAGCGTGGAGAACCCAGTCGAAGTACTTCTTCAGGTAATGAAGTTGAGTTGTGACCCAGTTAGTGTTTTCTGTGCTAGTGTGTTGGGTCCAAATTACAACTCTAAAGCAGTGCCAAATTGGGTATTTTACATCCGGCCTGAAATTGCGTGCAAGTTCAAAGCAGAACAGAGGCTTAACCATTTCATGAAAATCTGGTCTGTTGCCACTTTAGTACCGCCACTGTGAAGGAGCATGTGCAGGACCTTAGGGATGTGTTTCCTGTTAGCTTCTGTATGTTAACTCTTTCCCTCCTGCAGCCAGAGCTACCTGTAGTCCATAGAAACTAAGATAGGGAGGAGATCGAAGACTAGAGAGTCAGCTCTGTTAGTGCCTGGACTTCGTGTTCGGGTTTTGATGCTTTCTTTGGTTTGTAGTGAAATAGACAAGGACGCGTGTGAAACTTAGTTCAGCCCTTCAGTTGAGAGTTTGGATGTATGGGATTACAGAATCTAGAGATGCGGAGTATGTCAGCAGAACACTAAAAACGATAGAAAGCAGAGAAGTTCTAAGTTTGTTTCTTGCGTTAACTTTCATGTGCATACTCACTAGATCGCCAGGATTCCAGAAGCCACAGCTCACGAAGAAGCTCCCCTGAGTCTGACCGGCAGGTCCACTCCCGGTCTGGGTCGTTTGACAGTCGAGACAGACTTCAGGAGCGCGATCGGTATGAGCACGACCGGGAGCCGCGGGAGAGGGACCGCAGGGACCCAAGGCCGCGGGAGTGGGACCGCGAAGCTGACAAAGAGTGGCCACGGACTCGAGACCGAGAGCGACTGCGGGAACGGGAGAGAGAGCGAGACAAAAGGAGAGACTTGGACAGAGAAAGAGAGAGACTGACTTCCGACCCCGTGGACAGGGACAGAGACCGAGAGAGAACTTTCGAGGCTTCTCAGTCAGAATCTGTGAAACGCAGTGACGCCAAACTGGAGAGTGAGCACGAGAGAGACCTGGACGGCGGTTCCCGGGACTCCGTAGCCGTGGATAAAGAGAGACTGGACAGAGACCTGGGGTCTCTGCAGGGATTTGAAGATGTGAGTAAAGCAGAGAGAGCCGAGAGTCTGGAAGGTGAGAGCACCACTGTTTCCTCTTGTATTGCCTCATTCCCTTCCGTGACAGTCCCCTGCAAGACTCTTCTTTTGAAGTCATCCATGAATAAATAGATGAAGTGACTCCATTCTGTTACAGGGGAGGAGATGAGTGAGGAAGGCCTGTGGGAGTCAAAGTGTATTCATTTCAGTCCTGTTTGTTGTCAGAGACCTTAAGGAAATAAATTACTGAGTGAAGTGGAAGCTAGGGAGCAGAGCATTCAAAGACAGAGCAGTTGCTTCTAAATGCCGCCTAAAAACTGAAAGGATAGCTCACTTAGGTGCTTTACCTGCAGCTTTTAATAACCGTCACATCTTTTTCTTTTGTGTAAAAAAAAAAAAAAAAACCAAAATCTAAAAACAAACAAACCCGAGCCGAGCATGGTGGCTTCCTCCTGTAGTCCTGTCTCCTGGAAGGCTGAGGCAGGAAAGTCAGATTCAGGATCAGCCTGGCTGGCCGCCATAGCTGGACTTGTCTCACCCTGTGACAAAAACTGAAGTGAGGAACTAAGTAGCCGTCAGTAGTCCCTGTTTGCTAGGGCAGTTGACAGTGAACATGTTGTGACCCCAGCCCTAAAACTGTTGGGTGACTGTAGAAGCCTGATGGCGCTCCCTGTCTTCAGCAAGAACACAGGGCCAGAGCAGCCATTTGGCCCAGTCAGAGCCAGTCTTGAGGCCATGGGACCTCAGTCCCCACTGCCTGTCTCTCCACCTGTCATTCCACTGTGCCAGAAAAGTTGACTCACTTTAGGGAGTAGGGATAGTGACTTCAGTAAAAGGAAAGTTATTATCATCAGTCCGGTTTGTTACAGTTCAATGAAATCCAGTTGAGTTATGCAGAAAGTCTAAACCTCCTTTCAAACCATAGCCCATGATTTCATGTTGTTATACTCAAAATCGAGGTGAAATGTAGTAGGAAGAAAGCTAAGGTAGAAATGTCTTTAAGTCAAATGGTGTGCGTGTGTGTGTGTGTGTGTGTGTGTGTGTGTGTGTGTGTTTAAAACAGGTGTTACTGAGCTATCTAATCAGATAGCCAAGAGATGTAAACAGTCACTTTTTTTAACCTGTGGATTTTACTATAGGCTAAATGCTGTCATGCAGCAATTCAGAAACAATAAAAGATGGTTGTGTATGTACTCATCCCCAGGCCAGAGACAAACCAACACAGGCCTTTCCAGTCTCTCACCTTTCTTCATCCTTCCTTTCCCCTTTCATCATCTCTGCTTACTCAGACCAAACCCTTAATGTATTCCTTGCTGCCAGGAGCTTTCTCCAAGGGCGGCTGCTCTTTGAGCTCCCACTGTGTTGTGTGGCTGTGTGACATCCCTGCTCTGTGTAGATTGACTTTCCCGGGTCTTCCTCCCGATTCTTATAAGTCACTTTCATCCTTTGTCATCAGAACTATATCAGGACATACTGTGTTGCCAGTACTCTGCCTGTGTGCATTCTCCACGTAGTAGTCCTGGGTGAATTATGTATAGCCCAAGGGAACAGGGAGAGGCTTCTCGGAGAATTCTTTGGAAATTCTGCCTCCCTGGGACTCTCCAGTTTCACAGTCACCGTTTACATCATTGTTCTGACATAACCTTCCAGGTTATTAGTTTTTGTTTTATTTGGGGTTTTTTGTTTGTTTGTTGTACTATATAATAGCATTGGCCCGTAGAGTAAAACCCCAGTCTTTAGAAAGGTGGGTTGTTAAGTCTAACTCCTAGTATGTCTACTTCCTCATGTAACAAAAACGTCTATCTGAGCTTTCATCACGTTACATTTTCATCTCAGTTTGAGTCTAAGTAGCATCCGGTCACAAGTTATAGTTCTAATGGAAGTACAACCTTGGGATACAACTGAATGTAATTGAACTACTCGTTATAATAGGTCCTTTAGGACCGGAGTTACTGTCTTCATCCTGACTGTATCATTTCTTTATTATGACCACAGGTTAATATGGTACAAATATTTAGAAGGGAGTCATCTGCTCTACCATGTAACTATTTTACTCATGGTAGAAAAAAGTGAGTTAGATAAACTTGAAAACCTAAACTCTATTATGTACATTTATTTTTAGAAATGTATTTGTATGATGATATTAGAGATGACTTGGTGGGGATATTGGGAAGGTATTATAGAATTTTGTAGTAAAGAATAATCAGTAAACTGTTGTTGTGGGAGGAGACTCTTCTTGGAAGATTTCTGTGGGGGCCACAGTGATGCAGCCTTCCTAAGCTGTTACCATGCTGGCATGGGCTTTTCCATGATGCACATGTCTGAGACTCAGCACTGCTTCTGTGGATGGATTACTCAGCTGAGAGCAGCACCGAGTCCAGCGTCTGCTGCTGCACCAGCATCTGAGTGACGCTCTAGATGGCAGCACTGGCTGGGGTGCCTGTGGCCTGTGCCACAAGACACATGCTGGGATCACCATCAGTTGAGGCTTCGGTGGAGGTCAGAACACGGAGTCTTCAGAAAGCCTCTACCATGTGCCAGGGTCTCAGAGCCCAGATGGTACAATTTAATAGAGAAAACAGTTGTTGGCGTGTGCCCAGAATTAGGGTGACAAAAGGGATTAATCTAATCAAGATTTTTCAAACTGGAAAAAAAAAAAAAAAAACCCTAAAATCATCTCTGGTGACCAACCAAATTACATAGCATAAAAATGTAACTGGCCAAGAAGGTGTAAAACCCTGGTCTACACTTCTCTTGTTAGTAACAGCGTCATTGCTCAGCACAGCCAAAGAAGAAGGTATTCTCATTGTATGCAAGCCCACTAAGGTAGCATACGGTGATTTCATAAACCAGCAGTGTGATGTTATTACTGAGAATAATAGAGTACATAAAGGGATTTTCTTCTGAAAAGTAGAAAAACTATTGGAATGATTAGAAATATTTCATAGCCTCATTCTTTTTATGCTTCAGATGCATACCCATGAGCCTGTTGTTACAGTTTGAAAATAAGGCTTATAGATTCATAAAATATGTAGCTTAGAAATAATTAAGCATATTTATAGTTTGGGGACTAGGTTACAACTAGCTCAGCAGGAAATAAAAGCTTAGTCTAGGAATAGTTGAGGGGAAAAGTCAATAAAATAGTAAAATAGAATTTATACTACTGATGCCAACAAAAGCACCTCCTTTCTAGTATGTTATTACAGCATTCTTCCAACAATTTCATTCAGTGAGGAAATGAAAACATTGAGACAGAAGGCAGAATTGAGAGGTAGGGAAATCAACAACGCCTTCACATTCATGCCTCACTCACTGTTGGAAAGTTAGTATTATGAGCTAGATATCATAGACTAAGATTTGAAATAGCTTTGCAAGTTTTTTCAATTAGTTTATTTGGGTAAAAAAATTACTGTAGCTTTTTGAAGTTAGACTTTTCTGAATGTTCAAGTGTTGTTATTGTTGAAAATTAAACACACAAGAAGAAGACATGAGATAAGAGGGAGCTTGTTGAAGAAAGGCTCCAACAGAAAGGGGGTCGGGGTGGGACGCAGGGTGAAGATGGCAAAAAGTCAGTGTGTACTGTATGAAACTGTCAGCCCATACAGGGCACACACTCACATTGCATCTGGTATTTTAATTGTGACCTTACAGTGCGTTTGAATATTGCTACTGTGTTTCTAATATTAAAAAATACTAGTTAAATTTTTATTTTTCAAGTTAAAATTATCAAGTGTTAGGCAAAGAAATGTAGTTTTCTGGTTTAAAAAAAATTTTTTTACATCATTTTATTGTGTCTAGTAGTTTCTGCCTTTTAGTTTCGCTATGGCTCCCTCTCATTATTATTATTATTTTACATAAACTTAATCTGTCTGTTTAGCAGGAGATGACGAGTCCAAGTTAGATGATGCACATTCATTAGGATCTGGAGCCGGGGAAGGATATGAACCCATCAGTGATGATGAACTAGATGAAATTCTGGCCGGGGATGCAGAAAAGAGAGAGGACCAGCAGGAAGAGGAGAAGATGCCAGGTAATGCATTGCAGAGCTCCCAGAAGAACTGGAGTGGGAGTGAATGTGGCCTTTGTTCTCTTCCATGCTGTAAGAAGTGGTGAGGGGCTCTTAGACCCTTCCTTTAGGTCTTGATTAAGGGAAGAGCCCATTAGAAAGAAGATTATAATACATGCATCTGTATTCTTTCATCAACACTGCCTGTGAAAGAGTGCCCTAGGGAGAAGCAGAATTGTAAGATTTCTTTTCCAGAGTTTAAGATTAATTCGCCCAGAGCCTCACCAAAACCCAGCTGCTTGCCAGTGTCCAGCATGGCAGGTATATGGTACAGGACTTCACAATTGTGGTGGCCTGTGCCAACTTTTTAAAAAGCTTTCAAAAATAGAATTAGTTTAAGTTTGTTTGAAGACAGTTGACAAACTTCCCTTTCTGAAATATGTCCATTCCATGAGTATTGTCCTTCCTGTGGTCTGTGCATTGCCGGGCCCACTTGCGTGAATACCGTGAAGCGTGGATCCCCTGACACGCTCTGGGAGCCGTCTGTCCAGTCAGGGTCTCAGTGTGCAACTTTGTAATTTATTTGATTCTTTTTTTTTTTAATTTTTATTTTAGTTTTTGAGACAGAATCTCGTGCAGCCCAAGCTGACTTCAAACCCTCTATGTAGCTGAGGATGATCTTCACCTTCTGACTCTCCTGCCTGTACCTCCCCAAACCCTGAGGTTATAGGCATTTGCTGCCACACTTAGTTTGTTTGTTTTATTTTGTTGTTGTTGTTTTTTACCATAGGGAGTTATTTTGATTGGTCTGGATATATAAAATAGGCTCACTTCATTTGTCCTTGTATTTCCTAACATCGATGCAATTTGTCACACCATTTTCAATAGATAATTTCTGTGTGTTAACATGCACTGCATTACTCTTTTATATTCAGCCATTGATATACTTGCTGGAGATGGGCCATATGCCACAGGACATGTGTGGCACTCGGAGGGACAGCTCTAGAGTCCGTTCTCCTGCCACCGTGTGGGTTCCAGGAACCACACTGAGGTTGAGGACTTGACTTCAGGCACACTTACTGCTGAGCCATCTTGCCAGCCTCAGCCTGCGGTGTCTTGGTGTGAAATAAAGTCCTGTTCTGTATTCCTTAACTCTTTTACAGATCCATTAGATGTGATAGATGTGGATTGGTCTGGACTTATGCCAAAGCATCCAAAAGAACCAAGAGAGCCTGGGGCTGCGCTCTTAAAGTTCACACCTGGAGCTGTTCTGCTGCGAGTTGGGATTTCTAAAAAGTTGGCAGGTTCTGAGCTATTTACTAAAGTTAAAGAAACATGTCAGCGACTTCTAGAGAAACCCAAAGGTAACTTCATTCTGCTTTAACTGTATAACATGTAACGTGCTTAACTGTCAGTGTGCTCTTGGGAAGCACTCCATTTGGATGTCTTGTAGAACTTGAGCTCTAGGAATTGTTTTAGGAGTTACATTATTTCCTAAGTTCAAGAAAGTCTTGTAGAACTTGAGCTCTAGGAACTGTTTTAGGGCTTATATTATTTCTCAAGTTCAAGAACGGCTTAATTCTGCAAGGAAAAAAAAGTTGGAAAAGTAAGAAAAATGAACTTTCTGTGTCAGAAATATTTTTGAGGGCTGACAGTTTAGTATAAGCACAGGGCACTGGACTTAATTCCAGCACTGTAGAAAAGAGAAAATGCTTTTTACAGGAAGTTAATGTGTCAGAATGCATGGAGGTTTGCTGGGGCTGAATAAAACAGTTCCATGAAATCAGTAGTTTTTTCTCAGCAGAGTGTGGGTGACTTGACAGCCCTCTCATCTGGTAATAAGCAGAGGGATGCACCCAGATGTGAATGTCCAGGTTGAGCCTTAGCAAAAATGGTTTGTGCAGTGGGGAGGGCCTCTGATCTGTATTCCAGAGAACACCCCACTTCTCGCCTAATCTCCGTCTGTTGGTGACAGCTGTAGTTGGAAGAGTGGTGGACACCACCACTGTCCCTTGTCTGCAGTGAGCAGCAGACTAGTTACTGCAGGCAAGACAGGAGAACAATGCCTGGGCTGCAGCAGCATTGTGTTCTCACTGTAGTATTTAGTCAGAAGATAGTTTATCTGAATTAGTTTTATGGCTTCTGGTGTTTCGGGTTTGTTCTGTAGCTTAATAATAATTTTGTCAATGAGAGGCTAAGCAGATGCTTAAACAAGGGAAGGGAGGTAAAAAGTGAAAGCAACATTGTTTGACAGTTTTATGTTATGTCCCTAAAAGTTGAAAAAAAAAGAAATTGGGAAAAAATTTTTTTTTCTCGAGACAGGGTTTCTCTGTGTAGCTTTGGTTCTTGTTCTGTAGACCAGGCTGGCCTCGAACTCACAGAGATCTGCCAGTCTCTGCCTCCTGGGTGCTGGGATTAAAGGCGAGCGCCGCCACCTCCGCCGCCGCCGCCACCACCACCCAGCTGAAAAAAATGTTTTTAAAGTGTCATGAGTCCATGTCCTTTTTGCCTGTTCCTATAATCTCTCAATTTTAATACTCAATTTTAATTCTCAATTTTAATACTACTAATAAATTGTAACTGTGAACATTTTGTAATCTGAAAAGTGACCTAAGGGTTCTTTCTGTACTCTTTTTTACTTTGGTTAGGTCTGTGGCCCTCAGAAAACAACTCCTGTTAACCTCAGTTGTTTGTTTACCTGACCCTGGCTTAACAAAAATTTCCCGTCCCTCCCTCCC